TAAAGACAGCACCATCAGACCACAGCCCACCTTAGAGAGACTACTTTGCCAAGGGAGGGCAGATTCTGGCTGCTGTGGGCCCCTCTCCTTTTTATTTTTGAAGTAGGGGGGGTCTTCACTCATCTCAGGGTCTCTACTCCCCAGTACTGATAACAAGAGACAATGACAAGGCATTTCTCCCCATCACCCAAGAGCTATTTGGTTTTTGTTTTGAGACAGGGTCTCCCTCTATAGTCCTGACTGGCCCGGAACTTGCTATGTAGACCAGGCTGACCTTGAACTCATAGAGCTCCACCTGTGTCTGCCTCCTAAGTGCTAGGACTAAAGGTGTGTGCCACCACACCTGACCACACTTCCCCCCATTGCTTCTCCTGATTCCTTTCACTTTGATTTACATTGTTGAATTTAAAGAATCCTAGGTGGCTAAGCATTATTTGACCACAGTACAGGGATCAATATAAGGTGGGAAATTGTTAGGTCCATAAAAAATGCAACAGCTATACATGCCTTATGCCTTGAGCACATGCTCCTTCTGTCCTGCTACATCAAGCACATACAATACTAAACATTTTAAAATTAAAATTATATTTTATTTTTTTGTGTATGCATGTATTGCCTGCATGAATGTAAGTGCACCCGTGTCGTGCAATGCCCACAGAGATCAGAAGAGGGTGTCAAATCCCCTGGAACTGGAGTTATAAATGGTTGTTAGCCACCATGTGGGTGCTGGGATCTGTACCTGGGTCCTCTGCAAGAGCAGCCAGTACTCTTAACCGCTGAGCCACCTTCCAGCCCTAAAATTTTTTTTTTTAAAGTTGAGATAACTGACCTGATCAGAGGTCATGGTCAAACCCCATGCTGGAGGAACAGAAACCTGGCTAAGTAGCTGAAAAAAATGAACATAAATGGATCTCGCTGGAAAAGGCCAAGTCTTTACACCAGCCTTGGACAGTTACAGAATGTGGGCAAAGCTGTCTTCAACCTGTCTCCTCACCTGTTCCTCTCTGCCTTTCTCTGTCCTGTTAACCTTTCTATCAGACGACAGCAACACTTTGGCTTTGTGAATACTATGGGATAGAATTCACTTTCTGTCTTCACAGTGCATACAGAGAAAAAATGGCCTAGAAAAGACTAGGGGGCTGGAAGCTGTGGCTAACACTGATGTTTCCATGGTGAATGACAGCTGAGAAGTGGGTTTTAGGATCATCTTATATAATTTTGGTGAATCAGAACTTATTTTTTCACTGTATTTTATGTGTATGAATGTTTTGTCTGCATGTATGTAAATGTACCTACCATGTGCATGCAGTGCCTCTGGAGGCCAGAAGAGGGTGTTAGATCCCCTGGAATGTGTGTTAAGGACAATCGTTAGCTGCCATTTGGGTGTTGGGAACCGAACCGAGGTCCTTTGCAAGAGCAATCAGTGCTCTTAACCACTAAATCATCTCTCCAGCCCTAGGACTTACTTATAATTTGAGATTATTCTGATATTCTTAATAGGAATTGTTTAAAATAGTACGCTTTAAACAACAAGTCTTAAACCATTTGTTAAAGCCATTTCTTTTTTGGGCTGGGTGTGGTGGTACACACCTTTAATTCTAGCACTGGGGAGGCAGAGGTAGGCAGATCTCTGTGCATCCAAATCCAGCCTAGTCTACATAGTGAGTTCCAGGCCAACCAGGGCTACATAGTAAGACCTTGTCTTCAACAAACAGAATAAAATGAAATAATTTATTTAATTCAGAAGAGGTGAGCTAGATCCCTGTTTTGGCCCTCCCAGTTCTGGCCAGGGAGTAAGGGGGGACAGAGAACTCTGATGCAGCTTCTGCCTCTTTCTGCCCAGGTCCTGTGGCTCGCTGGGATTTTCTAGAGGTTGATGGTTCTGCCTGTGGGAAGCAATGATCCCCCTGCAGCTCTCAGCATGTAGGGTGAAGAACTGTGCTCCATGCATTTTATACAAATTGATTTACTTGGTAACATGAGAGCTCACTTGGAACTGAACCACAGCACATTGTGATTTCTGCTTGGAGTCCAAAAGTTATCCAGTGACAGAGTTTCTGCGGCTGGCTGTCACCATGGTGAGAACACAGTAACGAAGGTACCATGTCCATATAAGGCTGAGTTAGCTGAGCAGCAGGGGCAGTCTGCAGGGAGGCTACATGGCGGTTACAGTAGCACTGCGGGGGGGGGGGGGGAATATATGGTGAGTGACCCCAGGGGAAACTGTGGGAAAGAACACACCACACACAAGCTCTCTGAACTGCAGACTCCATCCAGCTGCTATTTTTACAATTACATTATTTAATAAAATATTATCAAGTCCAAAGTATCAAAGAAATGGCCCGACTTTCTGCAGAGAGATGTGTGGATGAATCTGTAGTGAATGTCTTTTCTGTATACACCAGGTTTGTGATACCGAAACTGATAATATCTAATCACTGTTTGAGGAAAACACATGCAATTGTTCTGTGAAGAAATAGTTTCAGTTAAGTGTCTGATGACACCTTCAGTCATGTATCTGTAGAAAACACTCCATTTTTCTCTCCATACGAGCTTCTTTCTTTCCTTTCCACAATGTGCCGTGATATACCTAGATTAACGGACAGCCTCACGTGCTGACTGACCCAGCACCCTTATGGTGTCTTTCTGTTCCATCACAGGTGGGATAGACAGAAGCGCAGGGCAGAAACAAACACACAAGTGTGCTTTGCTACATGACTGGCCACCTGAGCAAAGGGAAACTGAGAGGGTGACCCTGAGGTATACGCAGTGTCCTGACAACTGCCAAGCATCATTCAGTTAGATCAGTGCCAACAACCTTCCTGAACAATGTAAGAAAGGGACGCCAGGCTGAGCTCTGCCAACCAGGCTGATCAAGTTAACAGAATAGTCAGCTTGTCTAAGTTAACTAATAGTCAGCTTAGTTAGCCATGGCTAAGACAGACTCAGGTGCTTCCTCAGTGAGAGATACTGAGACCTTACTGAGGGAGAAGGCCTTATGGCCCATGCTGTGAATTTACAAAATTATAGCGACTCGAAAACCTTGGGAATTTCATTCCTAGAACCTCTGGAAAGATCTTGTGTGGAACATGAGAGCACAGTGCCCCGGCAGGTGGTGGTCTCTACTGAGATAGTCAGAATTAATGATCTTTACTGAAGAACAAAATCCTCACAGAGGCATTAGGCAAACCTTTACTCTATGGACTCGGCACTAGATAATCGTAGAAAGTGAGGGAGGCCAGGCAGAACTATTTGGGTTCAGATTATGCCTGGCTCATCACAGGGCAAAACAGAGTTTCCCTGGAGTCCGATTCTGTGCCACTTGGCTGGTCCTGGAGATATCTACAGAGCACCGATTGATCTACTTTGTGTCCATATAAGGTTGAGCCTGCCTGTACTCAGGGAGCCAGCATCTGTGTCGTCAGGTGCCTGTGCCTGCATCCTCGTCACCCACCAATCATCTCATCCTTGGGAAAGTCTATATAGCAGGAGACCCGGGAGGATTTTTAAATCTCAAGAAAAGGCTTTCATAGATTTAAACAAAAATCCTAAAGTATAAAATCCAGTCCAAGCAGAGAAACCATTGACTAAATCTAACCCTTGCTGCTTTCAGAACTGTCACTCCCCGTGCACACAGTGCAGGAAATGGAGGTTCTGGTCTCTCAAGGCCACTGAGCTGTGATCTTTGTCACTAACACAGTGAACAGTCAAGCATGTCAGCAAACAAGACCACCACATTTGAAAAGAAGGACACTGTCACCCAGACCCTGTTAGACTTGGTGGAGAGGATGCAGGAGTGGGGGTACAGTACGGAAAAGGTAGAATACCCCAGCCACAGGGTCACACTCCAGGAATATTCTGCCCAGTGGCAGGAATGTGGAATGGCTGCTCTCAGAGCTGATTTAGGGAAAGGATGGGTGAAACTCACTGGGGCATTAAGAGCTGTCACCAACAACAGCAGGGAAGCATCAGGAACTCAAACACCAGTTTTAAAGGCAACAGGATGGGAGGACAATCACTTAGACATTGAGGGAACATGTTAAACCCGCCCTCTGCCAGGCATCATGAAGATGACTTGGGGGAGACTTTTTTCCCTGCCTGTGAATCAAGCTTCATCAGAGTACTTGGGGTATGAAAGAATTTGAATTTGGAATTCCTGTCCATGGTGTAATTTCCAATACTCCTTTGCACACTCTCATGCCACATTACCAAGGGAACTATGCTTTTCTTTATATACTATGGTGTCTTTATAAAATGTATGCTTATGTAAAATGAGTATAGATCATCACTGTATTAATAGAGATCCATATATGTGTATACACATACACAGAAAGTTGGTCCTCTGTATCCATGGCTTCCCATCTGTGTATGTAATCAACCATGGACTGAAAATATTTGAAAACTATGGGCCTGTACTGAGCATGCGCAGAATTCTTTCATTGTCATTCTTTCCCAAATAATACAATATCAAATCATGACATTACACTTACATACTGTTGTTTTGTTTGGTTTTGTTTTAAGACAAAGTCTTACTATGTAGCTCTGGTTGGTCTGGAACTCCCTATGTAGATCAGGTTGGCCTCAAACTCACAGAAATCTGCCTGCTTCTGCCTTCTAAGTGCTGGGATTAAAGGAATGCATCACCATTCCTGGCCCATTTACATGGAGTGTTGTAAGTAGCCTGGAGACATAAGTAAATGGTAAGGCATGCACAAGTTATGGGCTGTGTTATGAAAAACACTTGAGCAGCCTCAGATTTTGATACCCAGGGGGGGAGTAACCCTTGTGGCTATGAAGGGACAGCTATACACAGGTGTATATTCATCACCTTGAGCAAGAGAAAAGGGAAATGGTACAAACTGACCCCACTTTGCATATTGTTGCTTTCTATGGTGAAAGGGAATCACCTGTATTAAATGTCACAGTATTACACAGTTGACTTAATCAGACAATTTAAGGTACTTTCAAGCAGTATCAAGAATACTGTCTTTGAGACTCACCCGTCCTCCTTTCTCTGGATAGCATTGACATCCCCCGCTGCAGTCTCTCCCTCCACAGGGCACATCAAACTTCTTCACACCCTACAGAGACCAAACACAAGGAAGAGGTTACTTGAGTGTCATCACATCCTGGTATCACATGTGAGAGTCCTTTAACATCAGATGATCATTCAAAATGTTCCATAAACACTTTTGGGAGCAGTTTTAGGTTCACAGCAAAACTGCACAGAAAGTAGAGCATCCCCACTTACGTGCCGTCTCTGAGCACATCCTGCCTCCCTCACTGTCCACATCCCATACCAGAGTGGTGCACTTGTTGCCATGGATGAAACAAGGGCACAGCATCACCGTGCGAGTCCACAGGTGCACAAGGGCTTGTTGCTGGCACAGTGCATTCTGTGGGTGATGGTCTTTGGAAGAGCCCACTGACTCCATATGCTAAGCCAGGTGCCCAGACTTGAGAGTCAGAGGGAACGTTGCTCAAACCCAGGGCTGGGTGGTAAGGAACAATCCCAGGGCCCAGGAAGCAAGTCCTTACTGGCCTGGAGATGCAGGGGCAGACCCTGAAGGCAAGTGGGTCACAGGGGAGGGCTCAGTGTGACCAGTCCAGGCCCTACCATGTAACACCCATGAAATGAATGCAGAGAGGGGCTCTGTGTCAGGAGGTAGGACTTGCAAACACACCAGACAGCAAGTATCCACCAGTAGCACCTGCAACTTCCGGTGGCATGCATTGCAAGAAAATCCACTTCTCTTCCTTCTCCCTCCATCATTCAAGCTCACTGTGGTGAGCAGGAACAAATGGGGAGTGTCTTTCCTAAGTGTTGGCCTGGTCAGGTGGGGTAGATGCTTAAGATTTCATCAGAGATGTCCCTCTTGAATTAGTCCCCAGGAGCTGAGGGAGTTTCTGGCTTCTCCCTGTGTATCCTCACACTTCAGACGAAAAGCCTGAATGGAAAGGGTCCTGGGCTCTTCCTTTCAGATCATGCCCAAAGGACACAGGAGATAACAAGTACGCTGATTCTCTTTTCTCCTCTTCCTATTAGTTAAGTACCAGCTGTGGTCCCCACTCTTCCCCACAGATGGGCTGGGGCAGGGCTTCCCACCATGGAGCAGGGGGCAGTCAACTACAAGAGAACTGAACTCTGTTCCTCATGCTTGGTCATAGTTTCGGCCAAATGTCTGACACCATGAACCCACAGAGCCCAGACAGAGCTGACAGTTATACCTAAGGGACCCTGAATCTGTGTACAATATACAGTTGGCTTTTGGTATTCACTGTACTGAACCTGTCTTGCAGGCAATGCTCTGCAGATGACAGTATTCTTTCAATGTCAAATGACACTGCTTTTTACCACAGACTTTGAAAGATTATTTTACACATTTATTTTGTGTGCATGGGCATGTGTGAGCTATGGCGTACATGTGGAGGTCAGAGGACAACTTGTGGGAGTTGTCCTCCTACCATGTGGGGTTTTGGGATTGAACTTGGGTCATCAGCCTTGGCAGCAAGTGCTTTACCCACTGAGCCATCTTACCAGCTCTACCACTGAGTTTTTATTCTGAGTTGCGCTTCAAGGACTCAGCTGGGAGACAGAAGTTTCCGGTCAGAGCACATGTGCCTGAGTCCATGTTCCCATCCCCTGGGTCTCTGTAGAGATGCTGATGGTGCTGCCATGGCCCCTCATGAGTCCTGCAGAGCCCATATTTTGTCCACACTCAGAGTTGGGGGTGCAGGGCATGCCAGTGTCTGAATCAGCACTGCTGGGCCGGCATTCACTTTGAGATCTGAAACCCCTCAGGCTCTTTTGGTACAGACTCAAAATTCTCTTCTTGGCTGAGCATTTTCTGCCAGAGGTCTCAGTCCATGTCTGATGCACCAATTACTACTGAAGAGGTTTCAAAAGCCCAACAGTCTCAAATCCTTTAAGAAGTCGATTCCCCCAGAGCCTTTCAAAACACTTTTTGAAGTAATAAAACAGCAGGCATTCCATGGTGTAAAAGTAAATATATATGAAATCCTTTTATGCCTTCAAAATAGGATTCTAGATATTTATCAGTTTTTCATAGTTTCAATGTATCTCTACGCTGGGACTCATAAAGTCTGGGTTTTGAAGATGTGATTTCTAGGAACAAGCTATACATTGTGGAACACCCTTGGCACCAAAATGCAAGCCAAGATGGACCACCACACTCATGCTTTGGGACCAGATGGCTTTTGGCAGACATCCCTGGTTCATCTAATAACTTACTCAGTAGTTGTTTGGAAAGGGTAGGGGGCTCCTCAGTCTCAAGAGGAAAACATATGCTCATATTCTCCATCTGGTGTTTTGCATGCTATTTTTAACTTTGATTTTAGAGCCACTTGCCAAATCCTTATATATAAATCAATGGTTGAAATGATTCTAAAGGCTTCAAATTGATCTAAGAGGCTCCCTGTTCTAAAGTTTAGGATAGGTCCTGGGTTTGGTTTTAGAAATGAACTCCTTGAAAACTGCTTAAAGTTGGATGGTACTTTCTTGCTTTTGAAAGTAAAATGTGCAGGCCAACTAGGGCATCTCCTAGTTGCAACGCCATGTGCTAATGTCTGGGATATCGTTGCCTCATTAGGTGAGGACCAAACACAGCATTGAGAGGCAGCCACCAGACCAGTTCCACCATGGCCTTTCCAGCTCTCTCTCTCTCTCTCTCATTCCACTATAGCCTTTCCAGATCTCTCTCTCTCTGAGAGAGAGAGAGAGAGGAGAGAGAGAGAGAGAGAGAGAGCGCTGTCCTTCAGGGGGGCTCTTGTGAATTCCAGCATTTACAAGAGCTCTCAATGCCTCAAGTGGCGTGTTGGGTCTCCAGGACGAACAGAAATATTGACTTACTGGGGCAAGGTGTGCACTCCAGACAGACTCTTAGAGAATGGACATGTCTCTAACCTGAGCTTCTGCATTCCCCTGACAGGATATGCGACTCTGGAACATTCTCAAGATGTGAATGCCTTCCTGAAGCTGTGGGTGAGGAAAGGAAGGAGCACTGCTGTGTAGGGCCCTGTGTTTGTGTACCTACCTCTTCCCCCAAGAGAGGAACACCAACAGCTCACAGCAGTCCACCATTCTACTGCTCAGTGTATTCAAGGCCAAACCACAATCCTACTTCTGTTTAGATACTTAGTAAAGTTGGTGGGTTCTCCCCATTTGACCATCTTGGAGCCTGCTCACCTTAGCGGTGGAATCTGGCCTGGGCTCTACGTTCACTTCCACCTCCTCAAGAGTACGCTTCCCCTAAAAAGTCCTTGAGTCCTCTTCAAGCATTTTACATGTCTCATTCGACAAAATCACAGGTTAAAACAAGAAAAGTTAAGCCTCCCTTCACTTCTCATTTGAAGCCTAAATTCCTGCAATGGCAGTTGTGTAGGGCAGTGTTCCCACACCTTGCTTCCACTGAGGCCCCTGAAGGAGTGCCTGGCCACTGGCCAACTTTACTCTTGATACATCTAAGATAAAGCTTCCAGGGTAGGCAGCTCTCGTAGATCCATCTGGGTAGCGAAAGTACCCACTGACATGGGCCACTCACATCCATTCAGGTGAGCTAGCCAGACTGTGTTTACTGGATGTCCTTTATCCCAAGGTGAAAAGGACTCACGGTCTGAGGTGGCGGAGACACTGAAGATTCACCAGAGGGTCCATAAGCTCTCCATTTCCCTGAGGATGCATGAGCCTCACCTGTTTATATCTACTCTGCAATTGCTCCTTCCCATGGATTCTGGGGCCATGAAGGAGCCTGTGGTGTGGGCTGCTTGTATTGGGTGAGAATGCCTGGCTCTCCAATTGCAAGCTACAAAGACAATGCAAGGGGGTTGGCACCAATCACCTTTCCCCGACAAGCTCTCTCACTGCTCACTTACTCACACACTCCTCCCTCACACTGCTCACTTCTGCACTCACACACTCACTTCCACTCACATGCTCATATACAGTTCACACTCATTCACACTTAGTACTCACACACAGGCACCCCTCCCCTACTGAATCCCTCACTCACACACTGACACCACCATTCTTGCACCCTTTCTCAATGCTTGCTGGAGACTATGAACTGTGCTGGGCACTGGTATAAAGTGGGAGAAAGATCCTGCCCTCATGGTGTATGAATAAGTAGATGAGAAGAGGGTGTTTGGAGAATGAGCCAGAAGGCGATGAGCAATAGTCCTGTCTGTTAGCATAGTCACTCAGGCCTGCTCATGTGCTCACAACACAGAGATTACTGTGGCAACACTGGTCTGTGGACCTCACTTCCAAACTCAGGAGGGACTAGGGGTGTGTCAATCATTGATTCCTTCATTCAGCAAATTTAGGAATATTTGTATTGATGTGTTGTCAGCCCCATCTTACCAGCAATCCCATCACTTGCCATACTAGACACTAGACCCCATTTGGGGCATGGGCTCCTTGAACAAGGCAGAGGACTGAATGTGGACGTCAGGGGATGGGAGGGGACACTAATATTCACTCATCGTCAGCTCTGGACATACGCAGTGTTGTAGAACTCCAGTAAAGTGAAAGCAATGCTAAGTTTGGAGTCATGAGGCAGAGCCAGAAGCAGCTTCAATAACAGAAGTGATGAAGGGTGGATAATATCGGCAAACAGTTTATAGGAGCAGATCTGGGTGGGCAGGGGCAGGAAGAGCAGAGTGCCCAGCCAGGGGTGGGGAGGGGAGCTGTGTGGAAGAGCAGTGAAGATGCTGGTTGAGGAGGAAGGATCTAGAGGCAGCTTCATAGGTGAAATTGGCGGGGGGGAGGTGCAACAGAGACAGATTAGCTGCAAAGAAGTCACTGATCCACAACTCAGTAACAGCTGTCCTCCCATTAGACCCTGCTACCCTAAGTGTGGATCAGAGTAGCAGCTCCCTCTGGAGCCAGTGAAGAACACAGTTAAGCCCCAGGTCACAATCTGCCTTCTCACACCATTTCTAGGCAGACATATCAAGGTCTCTCACTGGCACTGTGGAAAGAGGCTTGGTTGGGAGCCCAGGGGAAGCAGTATATCAAGGAGTGTGGCCTTCACTAGAACAGAAGGAACTGCCTCCACAGCCA